GTTTAGGTACGTTAAAAATGAACCTCAGATTCGGAAGTTACGCTATTGGTACACTACATTGGTGAAGGGTTTGGAAGGTTTTATGAACATTTTCGAAAAATAACCCGTGTATTCATCAGGACACCCTAAAACAAGGAACTTGAGTGTACCGTTAAAAATCCTTGAAGGTTCGTATGGTACGCTCTGTGTACCCTACGAGAAACATAATTTTATCAACTTTTGTGAAAAGGATCCTGCTGGATAGACTGACATTGCTGCTTTCACTAAATACGTCCATAAAGGGCTATCTCACGAGTTTTCCGAACCTGAACCCCCTCTTTCACGCCCACACACTCACGCCCATGTTTGCCAGTTAGCGGAAAGATTGAGCACCACTGTGCCATCCTGGAATGATGATGTTCAGCCGAGTCGAAGCGTAGATGATGTCACTCGCGTCGTTGATTGCTGATTGCTGCCCCCGTGCTGTAATGGGTGAGGGGTTTGAAGTTGCAGCCTGGAAATCGTTTCGAAACGTGCTGGAAAAATCGATCGATTTTCCTTTGATGACATTCGCAATGAGCGTGAAAATTTGTGCACTTGTTTCGATCAAATGGGATTTTTTTTTCTTTCACACAACTTCCATGAATGGAGAAAATTGGAAAAATGCTCTTACCTTGTTCCGATAGGCCTCGTAGCAATTTTGACTTGCACTAATTACTTTCACAAACCCGTGAAACCAATCTTCTTGAGCAGCTAAAAAAAGTAAAACAATTTCCAGCGCTCTAAGCAATCTATTCGATAGCGAAACTAGCTGTAAAATTTCCAATTTCCCATCGGAAATTTCGGATCAACCAAAGCATGCCACAGGGTGCCGACAGAGATTAACTTTTACGGATCACACCCTCTTTCCTCCTTTATTGGTCGAATATGAGACGAAAAAGTTTCATCTCACTTAATTTTTCAAACTTCACAGGCCACTATGATCGCCCCCATCGTTATCGTCGTTCGAGCCAAGAAAACAAAAAAACAACAACACTTCCACGGCAACTGGGAGCGTGTACGTGCAAAGGAAGCATTGTTTTTGCTGGCTTTTGTTTTCCAATTAACCCTTCAATTTTCTGACAGACAGTGGATGACTGTCAAATTTATGACCACATAACCTATAACTGGGCAAAAAAAAACTAATTCAACCCGAACACGTCTCTATTTTCGAAGCTATGCTTCCAAAAAGTGACCAGTAAATTGGGTGTTAAAAACTAATAAACTGAGCCTCCATTGAGGAGGCACCGAAAGCTGAGTTCGCTCGCCGTGTGTTTCAGCTGTTTCGCGCCCTAACCTTACTCTCGCGTCCGCCGAAAGCTATTGAATCTATCGGATTCATCGCTCGCTCTGGCAGTATCCCATTGATCGATGTTTAATCAAATCATTTTCGCTGGACCCGCCGCCGTCGCCGGATTCGATCCACGGAGTTCGAGCGAAAGGGGTTGTAAGGAGGGGGGGGGGGAGGGGGCATTCTGGATCGAACAATGAACAGGAAGTGGATGACTATACGGCACAAACTCCAACACAGACAGAGCCTCAGCCAAAAGCGGACAACGGCGCACGGCTATCCGAGCCGAGCATCCATCAATAATGGACTTGGTAACACAATAATCACGTCAGTGGTGCTATTATAAAACTATCTCATGCTTCTTTAATTCGCCCCCTTCCGCCCGCCGCCACTACACAGTGACCGTCCCTGTGTCTATCCGTCCGCGCGGGGTTTTGAACGTGATTTAGGTTCATGTACGCGCGCGAGATTAGATGGATGGGTGTATGTTGTTTTTTTTTTTCTTTACCACTATTTCGGGAAAATAATTAACCTATCATTATTATTAAGACGATCTCACACAAGATTAAACGTACGCGGCCTCTGTGCTAATTTGAGCGCATTTGCGCGGTCTGAGAACTGTGCTTATATGGGTATATATGGGTATTTGACTGTTCATTTGCTTATATGATGGATTAATTCAACAGCATTTCAGACTAATTTAAATTTGAGCCGCAAAATTGTGATTAACACCTGCTGCGTTTTGAAAAAAAAATGATGAGTACTGTTTAATTTACATAGAATTTGAGCTGGTTTGTTCGTACTCTTCATGCTAGCAACTGATGGATGCTGCAATTCTTCGATGCACGTGATCACAGTATTTACATGGTTTGACATATCTCACGTTATTATGCCACGATGTCCAGAAACAATGCCATATTCTGGTTTTGAAATAAGGGAGCCGACAATTTCAAATTAATTTGGTTTTGGTGTTCCTAAGCACTTTAACTATTCTGTTTGTATTACTTCTGCGTGAAGTTAACGATTTTACATAGATGAAGATGCTAAGTTTCAAATAACAGACTTAAAGTGGTCATTTTATACGATAGATGAAGAGATGAATATACACAGCAAAAAATAAATTTTAATATTACATCCAAGAGGATGCACTTCAGTCATGTCGAAAATCTCATGTAATTTTTATGGCCACACAAATAAACAAATGCAGTAAAAGCAACGTAATGTCAGTTCATGCACTGTATTCATGATAATTTTGCCTTTTTTCGCAAGTAATATTACACCATATTTTCGACACGATTGAAGTGCATCCACTTTGATGTGATATTAAAATTATTTTTTTGCTGTGTAGGACAACTTTAAAGAAGGTACGAATCGGGTTGATCATCTCTTTTTACCAAACTCCCCAGTTGGAGAGGGATGGTGAGGAGCAGGACCCAACAAAGTCACTTTCAATCGAAAATCGTCAAGCGACAACGAAGCTGTCAACCATCACTTTCAAGTGAAATTCATTCCGTCATCTCTTCGACCAGATCCCCTTCAACATCAACAGAACCACTTTCGATCAGTTTTCATGCTGTTTGTTTTGGCTTGACTCGTGTTCATTTCATCATTCATTATCAAATGAACTTACTTTCGCATTGAAGCGAAACTGTTCGATCTACATTTGCGCAGATTTTCTGACTTTTGTTGATTTTTCACTCGCATGTCAGATGCCATTTTGAAGTCCAAGATGGCAGCTTCCGGTTCAAGAAAATATGGAAAATACTGTTAAATACTAGAGCTGCGCCGAATATTGTTTAGATGCGAAGTTTCGCTAATATACGACAATTTTCTACAAATGAGTGGTCGACAAAACGATTGAGTGAAATTTTGTTAGCTCAACGCTTTATATTCGGCCGAATACTATGGCGGCCGAATATTCGGTGCATTTATATCAATTACCCATCAATATGGGTATTGTTGGAAACGGGAGGACTTCTAGAGAATAAAATCAATATCAGACGCCTAGGGGCATCCCACTCTAAACTTTAGCTCCAATATTTATTAAATATTTTTGAATATCTCGTAAGTATCGCTAAGTATTTTTAAGTATTTTATTTCTAGGTTTTATTTTCATCGTAGTAACGTTTGTTTTATGACCGGTTGCTAGTGCTGAGTTTGTTGTTTTTTGCTCCATCAGTTCGATAATTTTAGTCGCGTGATCTTATATTTTTTTAGAGTATAAAATGAGTTTATTTGAAATGAAGTGTGAATTCATTGTAAGGGAGTATTTCAAATCTGCCTACGAAAGGATAAAACAAAATGTATGTTTTTCAGTGATCTAAAATGGGAAAATGAAGTACACCGAGTCTTTTCGATTCGTTTTCTCTAACATGAGAATCCTAGAAGACGATTGTGGAACCAAAGAGCTTTAAATGTGAACAGTCCCCTACAATTAAAGAACATTTAATTACTGTACAGTCAGTCTAGCGTGTTCATCATATGGAAGTGTTCCATATTTGTCGAAGAATTTATGTTGTTGTCGGGTCTATATTATGAAATAAAAGCTGAACACAATGAAACTGTTTATTCTCAAGACTACTAAACATTTAACAGACTAATCATAGTTTACCAAACCACCGAATCTATATATATACATAACAATAATTTGAAAATAACAATATGATTTTTTAAACGATAAAATGAAACCTGGAAAATGGAGCATTTTTGTAAGGTTATCGGTCAGCTCATTAACCCACTTAATGAGCATGCCTCCAATATAGCCACATTGTTGGAGACAGCCAGTTGCATACCGGTCTTGAAGCGAGCCAAATTGCAGCAGGGCAGCTGACTGGGCGTAACGCTACGCTTGACAGGACAATTGACAGGACAATTGACATCATGGATGACAGAACAGGTGACAGGACAGATAAGGAGAGTTATAAGAGAACAGATAACAAATAGAACAAAAGGAAGACAGATTAAAAACTATTAAGTACTTATTTTCTTTCGCATTTTAAAAGTGTTTGCTAGTGGTAAAATTTATTGAATTCTTTTCTCTCGTAAGTTTACATCAATTAAAATGCTAGCAATTATTAAATTAAAATTTATATACAGATAGCACAACACATTAAAAACAGTTTGTTGACACAGTGAACTTCAACACGTGAAGTGGATTAAAATTTGTAAGTTTATATATTAAGTTTTCTAAAATTAATCTAATCATTAAATAAAACTTACAGCTAAAAGCATTCTTACTCAAAACTTGACTTTGCTAACGGAAGATCCGAAAATTCACCGAAGTTTACATTGCCGTCAGCAACAAACTTTTAGAAATTTTATCGACCATTTGGAGGTTAGCCGGGTCCAGTATCAGCCTGTCGGGAGCGATACGATTCGCCGTTGCAAGATGTCCACTCTTAGACCAGGGTCAAAACGTTTGAGTGTCCTTAAGAGGGTCTCAGAAGAGGAGGCGACCACCGAATCTCACTGCCCCGACTGCAATCGACCTGATAATGCGGACCGATACATGGTGCAATGTGACGTATGCCAGAGGTGGTACCATTTCTCCTGCGCCAAGGTGGACGACAGCATCAAAGATCGAAGCTTTAGTTGTATCCATTGTGAGGAAGATGGTGCACAAGCGCTCTTGCCATGTCCATCACGAACAGGAAGTTCATCATCGATTCGCTTGGCGAATATTCAGCTGCAAATGCAGCAAATCGAAGAGGAGCAAAGAACCCAGGAAAAGTTGATGAAGGAAGTACAGGAGTACGCCAAAGCATTGCGTGAGAAGGCGGTACAGCAGGAAATTGAGAGCAGAAGCAAAGCCATGCAGGAGAAGATGGAACGGGAGTTAGATTTCATCAGAAGGAAGTATAATCTTCTGCAGAACGAGCTGAATGAAGGTGAGAATGGTAGCGTGAAAAGTTATCGAAGCGAACGAAGTGCATCTAGCACAGTCCATAAGTGGTTGGAAGCCCAGCGCGAGGCGCTCTTGACAAGTTCCGGGAACAAAAATGCCCCAACTTCCTCAAGGTCTCGAACCGGAGCCATCCCAAAAGGGACTACTGCAACGAAGCCAGTGGACGACAACGTTGTTAGCTATCAGCTTCTTCACCCTTCATCCGTACCGCAGATCATTTCAACATTGCAGATGCTGTATGGTCGGCCTGAGCTGGTGGTGAATAGTCTGGTTAACAAGGTTCGTTCTACACCTCCCCCAAAAGCGGATCGTTTAGAAAGTGTAACTACCTTTGGTTTGGCGGTTCAAAATTTATGCGGCCACTTACGTGCAATGGGCATGGAGAACCATTTGTCCAACCCTACTCTGCTGCAAGAGTTGGTTGGAAAGCTCCCAGCAGGAATTAAGCTGGATTGGGCACTTTATCAACGACAAATTCCTTACGCAGACCTGCGCGCTTTCAGTGACTACATGTCTACAATTGCGTCAGCTGCTAGCAACGCAACGTTCAGCACCGAGGTCATCCAGAAACAGGAGAAGTCGAAGAGCAAAGAAAAGGGCTACGTCAACGCACATGCGGAAGACATCCGAAAGAACGCAGATCAGGAGAATCGGAAGTCGGGTGAGATTAGCAAGGAGAAACAGCCGTATCAACCCAAACCGTGCTCCGTGTGTCAAAAGCTTGGTCATAATATTAGAGACTGCAATGTCTTCAAGAGTCGCAACATCGAAGAACGGTGGAAGCTGGTCCAACAGTTACATCTCTGCAGACGATGCTTGATTTCCCATGGAAAGTGGCCGTGCAAGGCGTCAGGGTGCGGTATACAAGGGTGCGAGCTTCGACACCATACTTTGCTACACCCAGGGCAACCTGAGGGCACATCTGGAACATCTGCACCTGCAACCGGAAATGTGAATGTCCATCGACAAAAGCCACGGTCTACTCTTTTCCGCATCCTACCCGTGACTTTATACGGCAAGGATTCATCAGTTGAAGTATTAGCCTTTCTAGATGACGGGTCGTCGCTCACTTTGATAGAGAAGGAAGTTGCGGACCAGCTCGGTATGGAAGGGGAACTGGAGCCACTTTGTCTACAATGGACAGGAAACGTAACGAGAATGGAGTCGGAGTCAAGGGTCATCCAACTCGGCATATCTGGGACGGATAGTAGCAAGCGTCATACTCTCGAGTGCGTACGTACGGTTGATCGTTTGGATCTTCCTCCGCAGTCTTTGCAATTCAATCAACTGGTTCAACAGTTTCCTTACCTTCGGGGTCTTCCGGTGAAAAGTTATAACGGAGCCACCCCTCGCATCCTTATTGGTTTGGAGAACACGGAGCTACTAGTAACGTTGAAGAAACGAGCAGGTAGACCTTCTGAACCAGTCGCAACGGAAACTAAACTTGGTTGGACAGTATACGGAACGGTGGAAGGCCTGAACGAACCATTTGAACACCGTCTTCTGCACATCTGTTCTGGTTCCAATGATCGGAAACTACACGACGTTGTCAAGGAGTTTTTCTCGATCGAAAACACTGGTGTAGTGGCTGCGCCAGCGGTAGAAGCAGAAGATGTCCGGCGGGCACGGGAGATCATGCAACGGACCACGGTTCGTACAGCTTCCGGAAGGTTTGAGACGGGCTTGCTGTGGCGCTATGATTATATCGAATTTCCGAACAGTAGACCGATGGCAGAGCGGCGTCTTAAGTGCCTAGTGCGAAGACTAGAGAAAACACCTGAACTCTACGAAAACGTCAGACAGCAGATTGCTTCTTACGAGTCCAAAGGATACGCTCATCGAGCATCGGCGGAAGAGTTGGCCAAATTTGACCCTCGAAGAACTTGGTATCTTCCCCTCGGAGTGGTTATTAATCCAAACAAGCCGGGAAAAATTCGAGTGGTGTGGGATGCTGCGGCGAAGGTGGATGGAGTCTCGTATAACTTTATGCTTCTGAAGGGACCGGACCTGCTCGCGTCTCTTCCTGCGGTTCTACAGCGTTTTCGTCAACGGCAGATAGCAGTAACGGGTGATATCAGAGAAATGTTTCACCAGCTCCTGATTCGCTCCGAAGATCGTCAAAGTCAGCTTTTCCTGTGGTACGACAATCCGTCTTGCGAAATCCACGTCTATGTCATGGACGTTGCGACGTTTGGGTCGACATGCTCACCGTGCTCTTCCCAATACGTCAAGAATCTGAATGCAGAAGAATGGAGGTGCGAGTTCCCGGAAGCTGTAGATGCGATTGTACATAACCACTACGTGGACGATTACCTCGACAGCAGGGATTCTGTGGAGGAAGCGACGAGTATTGCAACAGCAGTAAAAGAAGTCCATGCGAAAGCCGGATTTGAAATCCGTAATTGGCTATCGAACTCGGATGAGGTTGTGCGACGGGTCGGGGACGGCAGCGTTGCAGATCTTGCCAAGAGCTTTGCAGTAGACAAAAACAATGGTACGGAAAGAGTTCTGGGAATGTTGTGGAAGCCTTCCAGTGACGTTTTCACGTTTTCCATACGCTTCCGTGATGGGATATCCCAGATATTGAACGACAGGGTTGTTCCAACGAAGCGCGAAGTCTTGAGGGTTGTAATGAGTCTTTTTGATCCTCTTGGCTTAGTGGCCGCTTTCGTAGTACACGGAAAGTGTATCATCCAGGACATCTGGAGGTCCAATGTGAGCTGGGACGAGCAAATTCCGGAAGAGATCTTCAACCGATGGCGTCGCTGGGTGGAAGTACTGAAAGAGCTGGATCAAGTCACTATCCCTCGCTGCTACTTCCCAAACTATTCACCGAACAGCTTGGACACACTTGAATTGCATGTGTTTGTTGATGCAAGTGAGGAAGCGTACGCCTGCGTTGCTTACTTTCGCATCATCGATCGTGGTCAGGTCCGCTGTGCACTTGTATCTGCAAAATCGAAGGTCGCTCCACTAAAACCACTGTCAATTCCGCGGTTGGAACTGCAGGCAGCGGTCATAGGAAGCAGATTGGTGAAGTCAATTGAGGAAAACCACACGCTGCCGATTCGTCGTAGAGTAATCTGGAGCGATTCAAGCACGGTGTTATCGTGGATACAGTCGGACCAGCGCAAATACCGTCAGTTTGTGGCGGTCAGAATCAGCGAAATCCTAGATGTGACCAATATAGAGGAATGGCGTTGGGTGCCAACGCGCCTTAACGTAGCGGATGAAGCAACGAAGTGGGTGAAAGAACCCAGCTTCCATGCGGATTGTAGGTGGTTTGTCGGACCTGAGTTTTTGTACCAGGAGGAGTCGGCGTGGCCAAAAAGGATTCTGCCAACGAAGGACACTGCTGAGGAGATACGCCCGATACATGCCCATCATCGGAAAATTCCTGAACCTCTGATAAACTACAGCAGGTATTCCAAGTGGGAAAGATTATTGAGAGCCACAGCATTCCTTCTGCGGTGTGTGAATAACTGCAGAAGCAAAATCAACGGAGATCCTGTCGAACTCAACCCCATTTTGTCTCAACGGGAGCTGCAGAATGCCGAGGAGTTTCTTTGGCGTGCCGTGCAGATGGAGGCATATCCTGATGAAGCCATCGTGCTCGGAAGACAGCAGCAACAATCGAGTGCAGCAAGGTTGGAAAAAACAAGCCCGCTTCACAAATTATCACCCTTCGTCGATGAGACGGGAGTAATTAGACAGGAAGGGCGAATTGGTGCTGCCAACTACGCTTCCTATGACGCTAGGTTCCCAATAGTGCTTCCACGAAACCATTACGTGACTGGACTCGTTTTGGATTGGTGTCACCGTAAATATGCACACTGCAACGTGGAGACTATTGTTAATGAGGTTCGCCAAAAATTCCACATTTCTAACTTGCGCACGGCAGTGCGCAAACAGATACGAAAGTGCAACTGGTGTATCGTCTACAAGGCTACCCCACGGGCTCCGAGAATGGCGCCCCTTCCAGAGTCCAGGATGTCTTCGTACGTACGTCCTTTCTCCTTTACCGGAGTGGACTATTGCGGACCTTTCTACATCCGGATCGGTCGTAGTAGTGTGAAGAGATGGGTAGCGCTCTTTGTGTGCCAAACCGTGAGAGCCATCCATTTAGAGGTCGCAAGCAGTCTGTCAACTGAATCCTGCAAAATGGCTGTGCGACGGTTCATCGCAAGAAGAGGTGCTCCGCAGCAGATCTTCAGTGATCAAGGAACCAATTTTCATGGCGCTAGGAAGGAGTTGAAACAGGAGATTGCAGGCATCAACCAGAAACTGGCTGACACCTTTACCAACTGCAACACTCAGTGGATTTTGAATCCACCAGCTGCCCAACACATGGGTGGCTCGTGGGAACGACTGGTCCGTTCGGTCAAAATAGGTTTAAACACGCTCTCTACCAGCAGGAATCCGGACGAGGAGACCTTTGGAACCGTTCTGGTCGAGGTGGAAGCCATCGTGAACTCTAGACCGCTAACGCACGTGCCACTTGATTTGGAAGATGACGAAGCGCTTACTCCCAATCATTTTTTGATGTTGAGCTCCAGTGGTGTTGTGCAGCCAACCAAGTCGCCTGTTGATACTGGCGCTGTTCTCAAAACCAACTGGGGCCACGCGCAAAGTCTTTTAGGCCTCTTCTGGGCCAGATGGGTTAGGGAATACCTCCCGACCATCAGAACACGCACCAAGTGGTTCGACGACTCTATACCAATTCAACCAGGAGATTTGGTGATGTTGGCGGATGGTGGAATACGGAACAGCTGGATTCGCGGAAAGGTCGTCAGAGTATACCCCGGAAAGGATGGCAGAATCCGCATCGCTGACGTCCAAACTAGTAGCAGAGTGCTTCAGAGGCCAGTAACAAGTCTGGCTGTACTTGAGGTTCAAAGCAGCGGTACAGCTGGAAGGAAGTTCCAGCAATACGGGCCGGGGAATGTTGGAGACAGCCAGTTGCATACCGGTCTTGAAGCGAGCCAAATTGCAGCAGGGCAGCTGACTGGGCGTAACGCTACGCTTGACAGGACAATTGACAGGACAATTGACATCATGGATGACAGAACAGGTGACAGGACAGATAAGGAGAGTTATAAGAGAACAGATAACAAATAGAACAAAAGGAAGACAGATTAAAAACTATTAAGTACTTATTTTCTTTCGCATTTTAAAAGTGTTTGCTAGTGGTAAAATTTAATGAATTCTTTTCTCTCGTAAGTTTACATCAATTAAAATGCTAGCAATTATTAAATTAAAATTTATATACAGATAGCACAACACATTAAAAACAGTTTGTTGACACAGTGAACTTCAACACGTGAAGTGGATTAAAATTTGTAAGTTTATATATTAAGTTTTCTAAAATTAATCTAATCATTAAATAAAACTTACAGCTAAAAGCATTCTTACTCAAAACTTGACTTTGCTAACGGAAGATCCGAAAATTCACCGAAGTTTACATTGCCGTCAGCAACACACATATTTTATAATCTGTGGCGTAAAATCATTGTAACTTTCCACTAGAAGCTAGTTCAAGCCTCTAAGAAAATATCCATTAAGTAAGTCACGCTCTGGGGGGGTTACAAATGTGTGACAAGCAATGCATTAGGTAGTGGAACAAAGTAACGAATGGAAAGGGGAAGTACATTTTCTCTAATTTTTGCGAGGAGTACTTAATGCATGCTTTCCAACTCAATGGTTCCAACACTATTGGTTTTTTAGGGTGAAATAATCTTTAAACGAAACCTGTAGGACCATAATGTCCACATGGGAATGTTCAAAGTAAGCGTCTGTAAGAAAAATATCAGGTGAATTGAATGTTACGATAGTCAATTTTAATAACCGTTCTAAAGTTTGTTCTGAACCGATTTTTCGATTTGAACTTGTCTAACTTGGCGACCTTCATGAGCTTCAAGTAGAAGGGCATCCATGGGAATATTGTTCATTTCTCCGGCCCATAATGCTACGGAAGCTATGAGACTCAGCTCTCCGGATGCCACAAGTTGCGATGCCACTCCCACCAGCTTAAATGTCCGTAGTCATTATCACAGGATCAAGATCCTAGTGGGTGAAAACCTCCGTGAAAACTATACTTATAACAAGATAGTCATTTCCAGAGCTGTATTTTGAACGATACATTTAAACGAGCAATAGTTGAAAGGTTCCAATGGCCATCAGTATAGCTTCCTCCTGGGACTGGATCAACGAGTCACGTACGATACGGTCAGTGGTGTGTAGTTAATTCTATAAATATTTAAACTCACAACTGTTTGACACCGGGACTTCTGCGCCGTCTCTGAAGGGGACGTGTCTACATCCCTGACTGCTAGTCTAAGCCAGTCGGCAGTTGTTGGGAAGGACACCAAAGGCCTGTTTTGCTCCTGGGTCTCCGGGCGTTGGCGAGGTAGGGAGAGTTTTCGGAGTTTTGAGAAGCATTACAAAAAGGGATAATTCAGGCATTAATTGAATGGTTTTATTGATCCAATGGCGGGCGGCAGGTGAAACACTTTCGCTGCTGCAATAGATAAACCGGCCGCTGTCTATGTCAAGCCGCCGATAGCCACGAGGATCTGATCCCAGGTGAACTGATCCCAGATCCTGGGAGACCACGGACGATAGCTGTCCCAGAGGTTGCAATATCGGTCTCCGAAAGGTACAGTATCACTGCCTTATAGGCTCTTCACATACTACCTTCCAAAAATGCACTCTAACAACGAGCCTCACTGCTCTGAACCCCATCCAAATTTCACCAGATCCACTCTGTTCCACAGCTCCAGATTCACTGACCTTCTCTCCTCTTCATCATAGCTCATCCACCACCCTTTCGTTATGCGTTTTGCTATCTACTACAAATTAACCGTTAATTTTCTGAGCATACTGAACACTGTTTCTTTTCCTATCGTCCTATATGCAACAAAAAACTGTTACCGTTCCGTAATAATGTAATAAATGTTTAATGTACGCAAAATCAGATAATATTTGAATCCAAACGTCAGAAAATTGGTTTATAGGCTATAGCAACCGAGCAAACAAACCATCGCTAGATATTTCTTAAGTATTTCTCAAGTATTTATAAATATTCCCCGATATCTATAGGTATATCGATAGAAATACCAAGTTGTAATGTTAGTTAGAAGAAGAGGTAGTAAAGTATGTGTTTGACTCATAAAACCTGTCAATTTCGCTTTCAGAACGTCGCCATCAGCGATTTTATGATTCGTGAGCGTTCTCTCAGAGTGAGCGCTCACGAATCGTAAAATCGCTTATTGCGACGCTCTGAAAGGTTTAATGTGTCAAACACATACTTTATAACCTCTTCTTGTAGCTTACAAGTATTAATTATCATTACAACATCTAATGATTACATAATTCCGAAAAACAGTTTTTTATAGCCAGTGAGTGGAACCGGCCACATCCGAATGCTGGTCAAGAAAGGAATGGATAGGAATATGTTGACGTAATACTCGCTTTAATGAAAGCCGAGAACACCTCTGCACTTCCACGAGAAATAACTGGGATGTTGGATAAGAGAGTTGGGTTTGCAGCAGGGTTCGTTTTGGTAAACGATAAGCTGAATTGATGTCCTAACGATTCTATAACGCGAAGGAGCGTGAAATTTAACCCACGGTCTTCTGCTCAGTAACCAAAATCGGTCGCCACTAGGCCACCGAGCTCCTTATATCACAAAACAATTACGATCAAGCTTCCGTTCAATTTGTTGTTACTATGTTTCGATCCTACGACGACCTCACCGACGACGACAAAAAATTAAAATGGATCTCCAATCAACACGTCATCTAATCTAATCTAATCTAACACCAACACAGCCAGTTCTTGAAAGCATCCTGGAAAATGATATATATATCTACATCATTTTTCTTGTCTATTTGATATATGTTTCACATCGAAGATGCGTCACACATATCAAAAAGGCCAGGCCTACTGTGCAGCATTTAAGGGACAAGATGATTCAGAACACATCGAAGATTTAAACACGATGCTTCAGAATCCAATAAATGGATGAAACGTGGACATCTCGTACCGTACGTTCCGATTTTGGTAATTATATGATTGGTTGGTCGTTGGAAGCATCAAAGCTAGAAAGGTTAAGTGATGCTCCATTTTCTTCTGACGGTTGGGACATGAGCACTAACTCTTGGCCTAGCCTTTTATGACTTATGGCTATAGCGCCATTACTCGCTTTCTAAAAAGAGAAGAGGGAAAGGAAAAGGAAAAGGACAAAGGGAAAAGGATTATGTGATATCTATGAACATAAACAATATTTTTGATTTGAAATATACAATATAGAAATGCATAACGGCGGTGGTCTTGTCACTATTAACAAGTCATAAAAAGTAACAAGGAATGAAATGTTATCCTTTGATAATGGGAAAATCCTGATTCCCTAGTTTGAATTTGTCACATTTGTCACGGCTAGGGTGGTAGATCTTATACCAGTAACGCACCACAAAAAGGTGATCTCCCAACGTTACTGGTTTGAAAAGAAAAAAAATACCAAATGGAACGAACTCACCAAGTTTAGCTGCTTGACAACTAACACGTCATTCATAAAACTCAAATATTACTTCTTTTACGTACCCGTTTTTTAACCGAATTTCATTACGCTCAGTAGTGTAAGCGGTTTGGGTTCTAACCCACGATCTTCTGCTCAATATGCAAAAATGGTCGCTCTCTGGTGGCACCATGCCCCTTACATCACAACAAGCTACGACCGACGATCGTTCATTATTGGTTACAAGAAGCTATTACAATGAAATAAAATCCCCGGAAGTAGTTAACAATGTATTCCGAACCGGATCAGGCGTACGTCACATTTGTCTAAATCTACTTGTCTGTTAGGACCCCTAAACCTCACCATCTCAACTGACCAGCAGTACGGCAGACTGTTGTTTTACATGGCTTTTGTCTTGCCAATCGTTCGATGGCCAGTTAGATCAACAAGAGAGATCACTTTCTCTTTCGATGGCACTTATGTTGACGTCATCGATTCAATGGTTCGGTAGCCGATAGATGGTGAGCGTGAGAGAACGATTGGTCGGAGATGGTGTATAAATTCATCACAGATTGTTTTTGTTCAGGTTTTGTTTTAAGAGTAGTTGTAGATTATTTTCAGTGAGAAGTAGTACAAGGTCGAAGACGGTCCTGCGTGACCAAAATTAGTAGAAGATATTTGTTAAGTGTAAATAAATTTGATGATTGGTCGAGTCCTGTTTAAGTAAAGAATAGTGTTAAATGTAAAAAAGAGTGTTTATTTGTGCTGTGCCGATCACGGAAGATGCACCATCCATTTCATCGAGCATCCCAACCATCCACTGAGCTATCCACCGGACCAGTCATCCTACAGAACCGATTTTTATTATTAACGATTTTCTACAATAGACATCTGGATAGATCAACTCAATAATGTAACGAGGCTTGAGTTTTACCCCATGATCTTCTACTCAATAAGCAAAAACGGTTGCTATATAGCCACCGTGCCCCTTACATTACCACAATCTACGACCGACTTACCAAAAAGCTGAAACGACGTCCCCGAAAGCAGCCAAACTGGATCATGCGTACAGCCTTTCCGAAATTTATGGTTTAACCAATTCAACTTTTATTATTAACTTCGCTTTATGCTCTCGGTAGCCAACGATGGCGGTTTATTCTGTTGTGGGAGAGCTTGGGATTAAACCCATTAAGCAAAAATTATCCCTCCAGGGTCATCGAGCTTCTAAAAACCACAACACTCCAGGACAAAATATGGATAAGTTTTCGCTTGGTATGTAATGAATAACAGAGATAGGCGATAGTTGATATAGTTTCAGCGGTTGATGGTTAATTTTAAATATACGAATGGTAGTACCTACGGCGTCAACAGCGAATTTGGAACTTACCATTTGTCTAGGATATAACACCTTTGCCCGGCACCTCCTCTGGATCTTCATGTCCGCTATATGTCACTGTTTGCAAAAATATCTAATAGCAATTACCTTTGTCGTAATACTTCCTTTAACGAAAACAAATTTTCTTGCATTGCCATGGTCATCTGTGAGGTGGTTCGCGTCTAGTGTTTTCCCCAGGAACCGTTCACGGCCACCAGCTACCACCCGACCAGTCTTGGGCGTATCGAGCGAGGCATCCTTCAGATTGCTCGCAATCTCCAATACCGGCGAGAGACCAGCAGCCGAGCACTTTTGCAAGTGGAAAACTTGCTGGTTCACGGCAACGTCGGCCACAGAATCACCACCAAAACTCGCGACGGACACATTATCAGCACTTTCCCGGGCTAATTCACCAACCGGATCGGGTTCAAACTCACCCACGGTGATGAATCTCACTACATGCCACAAATTAATGAACACTTTAAACTCAATTACAGCACAAACAACTGTTAAATGTCAGAAAAATTCCAAATTCGCGGAAGAAAAACACACAGCAAAAATAAGTACGTCAGATTTCAAGTGCAGCTTACTGCGATCCCTCTATAGCCAGCAACTAGGGGCAAGTCAGCTGTACTCTGAGTTAATATATTAACATTGAGTAGCTGTGAGTTACTCGTAGCTACTCAAAAAATAACGAAGTAGCCTTAATTTTTCAATCTGTCGTATTTACAAACAAAATAACGTCAGTTATCATGAACAGTTTTGTTTAAAATTTAGATTTAGATTTCTTTATGAAAGAGACTTTCAGCTGCAGTTTATGGTTATTTAATTGCAAGTAAGTTATTTTTCTTTCCAAAAAGCTTTCTTTTTAAAGTATATATAGATACTGCTACAAACTAAAAACGTATGTCTATATTCCAAAATCGATCATAGGAATTCCAACAACTAATATGGATTTACAGGAATGATCCGGGAGTAATTGTATAGTTCATCATCCTATTATTTGAACATTTGGTAGTAACGAAAAGAATTGTGTTTAACTAATACTCTGCGCTAATACCGTTATTAAGATTTACCCTGATTAAAACCCGTATTATTATTCCCAGATCATCAAGAGCTATTCCTGTTTTGTTTGCGTTAGTAGAACCACAAGTATGCAAAAAATAAAGGATAGAAACCTGGTCAACTCTGGTGAGTCTATGTACATGTTGTTACGATCCATTTTGAACCACCTGCACATCCCTATCAAATGGCCACCGATTGACACAGTTCCAGTACAACCTCATATTTTGAAACGAATTTGGACAATTAAAGCTGACTCATATATATATATATATCTTTCAAATATGTTAAAAATTTCGAAATTGTCTTTAAATGCAGTTATGAAGAAATAAATGATGATGTTTTATTTATTTACAACTGATTAGTTTCTACGAAAATATTTTCGATTATATATTACACTTATCCATAAGGCTCATGGATTTTCAGGAACTAATGGCAAGGTTGTCGGTGTGACACTTCCACTGACAAGACAAGCTGCGATGGTTGGAATAATTCTATGGTAGAAGCGACTTGTTTCTTAATCATGGCTGACCAAAGTAATTAAAGTTATGCAAAATTCCAGCAATGCAACTGATACGCTAGAATAAAAGAAAATTACGACAAGGTATCAACAGATTACAAAATTGTTTTGAACTTTCACCGGTGAATGACACATAACTCGATCAAAACTTTTCTCTCGTTGACTGAGTTGCTGCGATACATATTGACATGTTGACAACGATATTCATCATTGAGCAGCGCGAGTAACTCAGAGCTACTCAAAATTTGCTTAAAAATTACTCATGATTTAAAGCTGTCTGGCCCCTAGGCCAACAATGAAAATTTATTTTATTAATTCATCAGTTACGAAACTAAATTGTCATATCCAACATTCACAACTATGATGTGCAAATATTCAATGTTCCGAGGATTCTTGTTCATTATTCAAAACATCGTTAAAATATAGTCAAAAAGTACAACACAATCAGTTTATGTTCCGCGATCCAATAAGCCTCCTCCATCAGAACGGGATCCGTTTCCAGTGGTTTCATTGCATCGCCAACGTGGGACAAAGCGCTTCCATTGCAGCAATGGACGCAAAACGTGGTCATCATTACCATACTCATCACGAAACTCTTGCTTTCCAAAGTCGAAGACGCATCGACCGAAAGAACTGCTGATGAAGAACAATGAAAAAGACCACACAAATGGTTGCTGCCGAGTAAACAGACGTCGTGTGACACCCAGCGAGAGTGGCCTGCTTCTGTCGACAGCCGAGGAAACACTGGCAACGAGATCTTGCAGTACACGCAGAAAAATGCATATAAGATATTCATTAAAATACCTTTTGAAATTTAGCCACAAGGAATTTTCATGATGTTCAATGTCACACATTATGAAATCAAATTTCTTGGGCAAATCAATTCGTATGTATTTCATAAGGATTTAGTCATAAAATCATAATAATACATTTTAGTTCATAATGATGCATTAAGAATTTTGAAAATTGAAACATACATACATGAAATTATACATTATGAATATTGTCACCAAGCGAAAGAAAAACGTAATGCATAATTTTAAAATGCATACATCAGTTTAAGAAATTTTTATTTAATTTTTATGTAGTCCAGCATACAAATCTATGAAAATTATATTTGTTCTCAATGATATGAAGACACAAGAAAAAATCAAAAAGTCGTTATCAATTTTGTAAACAATTACTACAATCGTAAATTTATCAATCCTGCTACGCTAGAAAAAACACCACCATGGGGTGGGAATAACTTTCCCCTACTTGATGGTGTGGTGCTAGTTTGCGTGGGTGAACTATCAGTTTTGATAAATTGACGATTCTAGTCATTGTTTACAAAATTGTTATCGATCTTTTGATTAATTGTTCGATAAAATAGTTTTCGTTTCCGAAAGTTAGCCATGTTTTCGATTTTCGATTATTTCAGAAAATGTATAATAATAAAATTAACGGAGAACTGTTTTGTTCGCAGTTTGGTTCCTCATCGTTAGATCCGTCTGCCCACTGTTCCTCCTCCAGAATGACATTTGGAATTTCTTCTTCCGGTTGCTGCTCAGGCGAAATTAAATTATTGAGGTGCTATAGGATATATAAATTAATGTTAATAAACGATGATGTCGAGGAATGAAGAAATTAGAAAACTTACGTTTCGTCGTCTACAATCCAAAATCCAATGCCACAACTGGTTACGGTTAGCAATCCCGCTATGTTACAGCCGATTCCTATTGATTTGTTTTCAAATATTAACAATAAAATTAATAAATATTGTATACTTACCGTTAAGAAACGTCAAACAATCGGCAGGAACTTCATTTAAGAACTCCTGCAGCAACGTTTGCTCTTCCATCTTGAGTTTTGGGTCGGTACGGTCTGAATTTCATTACGTTCCTTATGATTTTTTTCATATAAACACTCTTCCAAATTTCAAAAACCGCATTATGAAATTCAAACCTGTGGCGCATGAATGGCTTATGTCCAAATAATGAAAACTGAGATGTTTTATATGAAACGCATAAGTGACGTATGAAAGATTTTCTTCCTTCATTTTTGAGTTTTCATAATGTTTTAATTTTGGTTTTCTTATGTTCATTTCCCTGCGTGTAGACAAAAATAAAATTGGATGACAGCGATTCATTTGCTTGTAAAGATTGCTACAATCAAGTAGGGAAGGTGTTTCAGTTATGGCTATACGGTCCTATGATGGTGTGTTCCAATTATGGCTGATAGCCATAACTGGAACATCTACCCTATGTAAACCCAACGTTGCAGAGATATCTAGGATTGCTACAGTTCATCATGAACCCGACGTAGAATAAAGCAAAGCCAAATGTTTAAATGAGAACTAAATGACGAGTTTCATTTGATAGAATGAACCTGAGAAAAAAACCAATGATTTTTTTTTTTGTTTTATTTCAATTGTTTGCTGATATCAAATTATAATTTCCACATGTTGTCAGCAAATCTCTAACTGATTCCCAATAAAAATAAGAACGAATCGGAAATCGAACCTGTCGGCTTTGGCTTGGTAATATATATCTTAGCTTTACTGACAATGCTTGAAGATATACTACTTTTATATTAAAAAGAGTCATTGTATCCTAATAATTAATGTAAACACATGATAAATAGTTCAGTCACGTTCAACCAATGGAGACGGATGCACAGTGGTTCCTGGCCGGACAAAACCTCAAAAATGAAAGTTGATATTGCTTTTATTTCAATTTTTTCTATCATTTTTACATGTTAAGAGTATCTTAAATTGAATGATTTGTGCAGTTTTGTTGATTACAGATCTTTTTATGGTTGTTGTAAGGTAGCGATATAAGACATTTTCGGAAAAAATCGTAACGTTTCTGGTTACTGTTTTGCTCAAATAAAGCAAAAAATAATGTGTATATCAACTTGGTTGCTTTAGAAGAAATGTTGCTCGGCTTATTTCACGTCAAATGGATAATAAAAAATAGTGTCTGCATTGTTTTAAGTAACAGTTTCTAATAAAAAATTGGTAAAAACATACTTTTTTCACATTTAGGCTAAGCAAAACATATGAAGGACACATCCGCCCACTATCCTTTAGTAACCAAAAGATAGCTTGAAAAGTTAGCTTTCAGATAGGCTATAATGTGTTTTGCGATTTTTTGCGAAAGATGGTAAATTAGGATTAACAAGTAAAGTGTTCTTTGAAAAACATCCGTATCTTAGTTATATAATCTGCGCTGTATACTGTAGCAAGCTTCACAATGCATTTTTCAAAGCACACACACACATTCACACACACACACACACACACACACACACACACACACACACACACACACACACACACACACACACACACACACACACACACACACATACACACACACACATATTATTACAGCATTTAAGAGCTGTTGTTGCGAACCCTCGGTCCGCGCTGACTAGTTCAGTAAGAAAGCGCAAACCGGCTGCGGCTCTCGGTTGTTTGCGACTGTCACTCAAACAATTTCATCTAGTGGGCGTTGTCGAGGCAAAAAGCGAAGAAAAGATACAATCTAACGTAATGTGGTTGACTGCAAAAAATTAAAATTAGTTCCTAAATATAGTTAAATCCTTCGTAAAAATCCTAAAACTACAACTATATCGTGCAATTATCTACAACCTAGTGCTATCGAATTGCTTTCATTATTTGTTGGAATGTTCTCAAGTTATCCTTACATTTGCTTACTTACTAGTTAATCTAAATTTTGTACGATTGATTGAACAAGAGCTGATCATCAAGTGTGTAGCCATATAAAAACAGTAAGGTTAGAAATAAAAAAAACGATATCGTAGGACCTTGCAGATTAATACGCTGCTAAACAGTATTCACCCGAAGACAGTGATCTGAATAGGAGTTAGCCGATCCCGTGTGACGGTAGCTAGAAGCAACAACTGAAAGTACTTGGCACTGATGAAGTCTGCAAGTAGCAGACGAAATACGCGTATCTGTCAAAATATAAGCAATTATAACGGAATTTAAAGGAAATAAACCAACCCACTCAAAGCTCTTCATAAAGGGATTCCGTTAAGAGGTTCGACAAATTAAAAGGATTAACTGAAAAAGATTAAATTATTAATACGACTAATTTACAGCACTTAACTTTCAACCCAACTCAAAGCGACGACAGAAGGAAACACCGAATAGAAGAGTTGAGATACTAAACGTAAGTTGGATGGTAGAGGTTTCCATGTTGTCAAATTTACTTAGAACAATCGTACTGTTATTACAGGAAATTTTTAATGCACGTAGTGAAATACACATTAAGAACTCATAATCAAAACTCGTTTCCTATTCGTTGGTCAATCGCCAACAGCTGTATACACCATGTAATATAAAACAAGTGGTATATAACTGTGAACATGTGTGTATAGCGTATGACGCACTCACACCACACAACAAACGTCAAATCTTATATGTACGCAAATTTTTGAAGCCATCATCGCATCAGAGTTTGTTCAGCTACCAGTATTCTGAAATATAATTTCATATCGCAAAATGGAAGGTAAACTCTTGTTTATAACAATTTATTTCACATATTTTGATGAACAGTCTTTTCAGTGGAGCAGCAGATCCAGAGAAGGCTGATTTACGAAAAAATTCGTAACGTAGGTTGCCAAGCAGAAAGAAAGAAGGTAATTTTAGAAACATTCTTTCATGGTCGTGCAAATGACCACGTGTTCGAAACTTTTTGGAAGAGCTTCACAAAAAAGTTCGTAAAAGCATCACGAAAACCAATGCACTTTAAAGAGATGAACTAGCCTATGGCTAAAAATCTCTATAATAAAGTAAAAAAAAAAAAAAAGCCAATGCACTTTGAAAAGAAATACAAGGGTTGGCTAGACGGAGAAATAGCTGTATTGATTGTATCACCGAATTCAAATCAAAATCAGGAAGGGCGACCAGAAGTGCAGTTCGCAGAGAGCAGCGATCGGTCAAAGCGCAGAAAGACACAAGAAATTCGATCCATTTACTCCCCGGAAGCGCTAGCGTTTGCTGCTGAAGTGAGTTTCCGGACTGCAGGAAATCTAGCAGCCGCGAAATCAATAAAGCATTGTTCTGATTCACAACTGATTTCTCCGGAAAAGGCAATCGCAGTGATAGTGCAAGCTAATTTAAGCAAGAATGCCTATCAAGTTGTCAGGGAACCAGTTAAAGATCGATACCCAGCATACAATACAGTTTTAAAAGCCAAAAAAGAATGTTATCCGGATGAAGAAGCATTTACAGTGACAGAATATGGCGTTAAAATTCAGCTACAGGCGATTCTCGATAAGACATCCGAAAGACTAATCAAAAGCCTGGAAGAAGTTCTGATCTATTGGAGAAACTGCATCTTACTATTAAATGGGGATGTGATGGAGCTTCAGGTCTTGCGGAATATAAACAGAAGTTTGCAAATTCTGATAATAAGGATTCCCACATTTTTTTCACTTCGTTTGTACCTCTACGTCTAGCTGTGGAACAAGGTGGTACGGAAATATTATGGGACAATGAACATCCTAGTTCTCAATATTCTTGTCGGCCAATCAATCTTCAATTTCGCCCAGAAACTGAAGAAATTATTTTGGAGGAATGTGCAAGAATGAAAAAGGAAATCGATGGATTAAGACCATTCGAAACAGTTTTAAATGACAAGAAAGTAATTGTGAACTATTCACTTTACCTTACTATGGTTGATGGAAAACTCATCAATACACTAACAGCAACAGCATCAGCGCAAAGATGCTATGTATGTCAGTCGACTGCTTCGCAATTCAACAATTTGAACAAAATGAAAACGGCTAAAATTATGGATGGTGTGCTGGATTTCGGGATGTCTTCACTTCACGCTTGGATAAGAAGCTTTGAATGCTACATCCACATAGGGTACCGGTTGGATTTCAAGAAGTGGCGAAAAACTGGGAATGAAGAAGCTTTCAAAATCGCAAAAGATAGAATCCAAAAGGGATTTAAATCAAGGATGAGGCTAAACGTTGATAAGCCAAAGCCGAGTGGAGCTGGAAACAGTAACGACGGCAACACGGCAAGGCGATTCTTTGCGGATCCTGTAATTAGTTCTGAAATTTGCGGAGTAGACGTAGAATGGATCACGATGACGAGAAACATTCTCATTGCTGTATCATGTGGTAGTGAAATCGATAGTAGTAAATTCGAAAGCTATTGCTGGAAAACTGCCGAACTCTACGTTAGATTATATCCATGGTATTATATGCCAACTTCGCTGCATAAGTTACTTATATTTACATGGACATGACATAATTCGCAGGTAAATTATAAATAAATTGAATTTAAAATAATATTAAAAATGTTTATTGATTAACAGATCAGTTCTACCTGTAGGCCGAATGTCGGAGGAGGCCCAAGAAAGGAGCAATAAAACTATTGAGGTCAGCCGAGATCAGTTTGCGAGAAAGAACTGCAGAGAAAATACTAACCGGGACGTAATAAACCGGATGCTCATAACATCTGATCCATTAGTCAATGCACACCTGAAGCCGAGTAGAAAACATCATATAGATTTACCTGAGGATGTTCAAAGTATGTTGATAAACTCACAAGAACAAGAAAATGTGAAAGAAGATAAATCACTAGAAACAGATGACAGCGATAGTGCTTTTGAAAACTTATAATATAATATATAGTAAATAAATTATTAAGGTTTTAATGCAGAACATTTTCTAAATTTTTATTGAATAAAGTGTGTGTGTGTGTGTGTGTGTGTGTGTGTGTGTGTGTGTGTGTGTGTGTGTGTGTGTGTGTGTGTGTGTGTGTGTGTGTGTGTGTGTGTGTGTGTGTGTGTGTGTGTGTGTGTGTGTGTGTGTGTGTGTGTGTGTGTGTGTGTGTGTGTGTGTGTGTGTGTGTGTGTGTGTGTGTGTGTGTGTGTGTGTGTGTGTGTGTGTGTGTGTGTGTGTGTGTGTGTGTGTGTGTGTCTGTGTGTGTGTGTCTGTGTGTGTGTGAGAGAGAGATCAAAATAGAGAGAAAAAGAGAGGGAAAAAGAGAGAGAAGATAGAGAGAGAAAGAGAAAATTCTACATTTTTGCTTGAAACAAACATTGGTTTTGGTTCTACTATACTTCTCCTACAACTTTTTGACGTCGTGATTGTCAAGTTTTCTTTGTACAGCTAAAGAACATCCATTTCAACTGTTTTTTTGTTTATTTGCAGCATTTTTGAGGTTTTGTCCAACTTTTGTTCTAAGGGGAACCACTGTGGGATGGTGGCATTGAGGCAAAAGCATAAGACTTAATATTTTCATAAACGAATATCCGTCAAGAACGTATGGAAGCTCTATCTGGAACCTTTGGATTCCCCGCTGGTAACGTCTGAAGCCTCCGTCGGGAACATCTGGAATCTTCGCCGAGAATGTCTAGAATCTCCGTTGGAAACATCTGAAATCCACGTCAAAAATGTCTAGAATCTCCATCGGGAACTGCTGCACTCCCCGACTGGAATAGTAGTAGAGCAAAAGTAGACAAAAGACCTCCAAACAGTTCCAAAGCATTTCAAAAACAAGTTCAGATGGCTTCCGGCACAAGTTTGAGAGGACGTCTAAGACAGGTTCTGAAATTCCGTTGACTTGAGCTTCAACTATTTCAATCCCATCCCATCTCCAAAAGCCTTGAAAATGTTATGAAAATTAAAATTTCACCTGGAATTGAACCTGGAAACTCATCGCACACCGAAAAGCAAAATTGTTCCTCCAATTATTGGCGTGCATTTCCTACTTCCGACACCAGCCACCGTCGCCGAAAGGAATGGGGAGAATGCTAATGGCGGAGTGTAGTAGGAAAGAACTTTTATTTTCGAAAATCGAATCGCATTCTCTCGGGCTAACCGGCTGACCGACTGATGCTTCATACACACCTACCTACCTACCTACTGATTGGGCTCCAGAGCGGCCAAGTGGGTGATGATGATCATGAGAAAAAATAAGCAGAACCAAACTCTTCGATAGGAAGCAAAATAGGAAGGAAGGAAGGAAGGAAAAAGCTCATAGGAAATTGGCTCGAATTGAAGATAATGATGAGAATTTTCCTCTCTAGGGTAGCACGGCAGAAGAAAAGGTTATTTACGCACAAATGTTATTACAAGCGCAACACACTCTCCTTCTCCGTGCGGAGGCTGATGGCTCTTTCTACCTACAAGTGGAAATGCAACACTCACTTCACTGCGAGGCTATTGATGTGTGGCTAATTGAGCAGGGCTCCAGTTAAAAGCCTTTGAAGTGCAGGTTGATGAGCGTCGTCGTCGGCGGTGGTGGCTGCGAGCGGCGGTCGGTAGCAATATAGTTACTCAATTTCGACGTCGGGTGAGAAACAAACGGGCTTTTGGCTTCCACTTTGTTTCGGAATGAGGCGGAAAAACAAACAAGTTTTGTGTTGTACTCGGAAGGGAAAATGGGATCGACGCATTTGGCGCTAATCCACTTAGCAAGCGGGCGGATCTAAGATCATCTTCTAGTCGACGACTGATGAGTCAAATCGGTAAACATCCTTCAAATTGCCAATTGACCACCGGCAAGGTGCACCAAGAGTCGGCAAGTGAACAAAAGTTGATTCACCTGACCAGCCTCAATCGCAGTAAAGCCAATATGCACCTCGTGGTCAGTTCGATTGTTGGCTACCGGCGCGGCGGCAGCGCAGACCAATTGTTTGTGGTTTTTTTTGCGTAAGCGATTTACCGCTTTTCCAATTTGGTACCTCATTGGATCGGCATGATGATCTCCGATGAGTTTCGAACTCACTTTTACATTATTAGTTTGTTTGCTCTGACCCACAAGACACGGCCATCTCCCTGCTCTTCAATTCGCCGTCTTTCTTTCGGTTTCGGATGCAGCATCCCGTACGTCCCGCCGGTCTACGGCGGTGGCGCCGGCGCCAACGCCACAACCATAATAATAATAACCATTTCTACCCGGTCGAGTTGTTTTTCCTTAATTTATTTCTGTAATGCGAATTATTACTAACCCGATCAGTGTTTGTTATAAAAACAAATAAAGGTACCTACTACTCTTCGGCACTGCCCCTGCTCGTCTTGCTCGTCGATTACTCACTCACTCACTTTCATGGACCGTACGTCGGTCTTGGTGTGCATATATTTACAAACGGTGGTTGCTGCTTCAGCGGGAACAGTTTTCAGTTCTTTCGGGCCTTTTTCCTGGCCGGCGCGAGACCACTGGCGAATTCGGACGTGTTGATCATGCGGGAACTTTGCGCATAGCTGGCAAGGTCTTGGTGCTTCCGGTTGGCGCCCGACGATGGTCTGTCATTGCCGCCGGAGAATGGACGCTTCCGTGGGTTGCTCGCAAATGGTTTACTGTAAAACGAGAGGAAAGGAATTGTTTGATTTCTTTTGAATTTGAGCAATTATATCTGCGCCAGCATTGCATAACTGGTAGACTTATTAGATTACTTTAGTCAAGATGTTGAGGTTGGTTTGTCTCTTGGAAGCATTAAAATCCCATAATTGTTTTTAGCACTAGCGACGGCTATTGTACAACAATTTGATTTGACATTTCATTCAGCATTATTCAGCAGCTGGTGAAGGTTCTACGAAGTTTTATCAACTTCTTCCGAGTTCCATAAGGTTTCTACCAAGTTCTTTCAATTCGACAGTTCAAGATCTCACAACAGGACTTTCTCCAAACAACAGGAAAGACCTTGAAGCTTTTCTACGAATTTTCCTACACTTCTGAGATAATCGCAAAAAGAGGGGTGTCAGATGCTCGAAATTTTCATACCCAGATTTCCCAATATAAAATATTCCAAAATCCTTTATTTATCGGCTGGTGGTCCAACCAAACCTTTAAATCGATTTATCTCCGTAAATATGGCTCTAATCGCGAAAAGAGGGGTGTTCAGATGCTCGAAATTTTCATACACGGATGTCCCAAAATAAAATATTCCAAAATCCTTTATTTATCGGCTGGTGAGCCAACCAAACCTTTAAATCGATTTATCTCCGTAAATATGGCTCTAATCGCGAAAAGAGGGGTGTTCAGATGCTCGAAATTTTCATACACGGATGTCCCAATATAAAATATTCCAAAATCCTTTATTTATCGGCTGGTGAGCCAACCAAACCTTTAAATCGATTTATCTCTGTAAATATGGCTCTAATCGTGAAAAGAGGGGTGTTCAGATGCTCGAAATTTTCATACCCGGATTTCTCAGTTTAAAATATTCCATATTCCTTTATTTATCGGCTGGTGGGCCAACCAAACCTTTAAATCGATTTATCTCCGTAAATATGGCTCTAATCGCGAAAAGAGGGGTGTTCAGATGCTCGAAATTTTCATACCCAGATTTCCCAATATAAAATATTCCAAAATCCTTTATTTATCGGCTGGTGTGCCAACCAAACCTTTAAATCGATTTATCTCCGTAAATATGGCTCTAATCGCAAAAAGAGGGGTGTTCAAATGCTCGAAATTTTCATACCCGGATTTCCCAATATAAAATATTCCAAAATCCTTTATTTATCGGCTGGTGGGCCAACCAAACCTTTAAATCGATTTATCTCCGTAAATATGGCTCTAATCGCGAAAAGAGGGGTGTTCAGATGCTCGAAATTTTCATACACGGATGTCCCAAAATAAAATATTCCAAAATCCTTTATTTATCGGCTGGTGGGCCAACCAAACCTTTAAATCGATTTATCTCCGTAAATATGGCTCTAATCGCGAAAAGAGGGGTGTTCAGATGCTCGAAATTTTCATACCCAGATTTCCCAAAATAAAATATTCCAAAATCCTTTATTTATCGGCTGGTGGGCCAACCAAACCTTTAAATCGATTTATCTCTGTAAATATGGCTCTAATCGCAAAAAGAGGGGTGTTCAGATGCTCGAAATTTTCATACCCAGATTTCCCAATATAAAATATTCCAAAATCCTTTATTTATCGGCTGGTGTGCCAACCAAACCTTTAAATCGATTTATCTCCGTAAATATGGCTCTAATCGCAAAAAGAGGGGTGTTCAAATGCTCGAAATTTTCATACCCGGATTTCCCAATATAAAATATTCCAAAATCCTTTATTTATCGGCTGGTGGGCCAACCAAACCTTTAAATCGATTTATCTCCGTAAATATGGCTCTAATCGCGAAAAGAGGGGTGTTCAGATGCTCGAAATTTTCATACACGGATGTCCCAAAATAAAATATTCCAAAATCCTTTATTTATCGGCTGGTGGGCCAACCAAACCTTTAAATCGATTTATCTCCGTAAATATGGCTCTAATCGCGAAAAGAGGGGTGTTCAGATGCTCGAAATTTTCATACCCAGATTTCCCAAAATAAAATATTCCAAAATCCTTTATTTATCGGCTGGTGAGCCAACCAAACCTTTAAATCGATTTATCTCTGTAAATATGGCTCTAATCGTGAAAAGAGGGGTGTTCAGATGCTCGAAATTTTCATACCCGGATTTCTCAGTTTAAAATATTCCATATTCCTTTATTTATCGGCTGGTGGGCCAACCAAACCTTTAAATCGATTTATCTCCGTAAATATGGCTCTAATCGCGAAAAGAGGGGTGTTCAGATGCTCGAAATTTTCATACACGGATGTCCCAAAATAAAATATTCCAAAATCCTTTATTTATCGGCTGGTGTGCCAACCAAACCTTTAAATCGATTTATCTCCGTAAATATGGCTCTAATCGCGAAAAGAGGGGTGTTCAGATGCTCGAAATTTTCATACCCAGATTTCCCAATATAAAATATTCCAAAATCCTTTATTTATCGGCTGGTGAGCCAACCAAACCTTTAAATCGATTTATCTCTGTAAATATGGCTCTAATCGTGAAAAGAGGGGTGTTCAGATGCTCGAAATTTTCATACCCGGATTTCTCAGTTTAAAATATTCCATATTCCTTTATTTATCGGCTGGTGGGCCAACCAAACCTTTAAATCGATTTATCTCCGTAAATATGGCTCTAATCGCGAAAAGAGGGGTGTTCAGATGCTCTAAATTTTCATACCCAGATTTCCCAATATAAAATATTCCAAAATCCTTTATTTATCGGCTGGTGAGCCAACCAAACCTTTAAATCGATTTATCTCTGTAAATATGGCTCTAATCGTGAAAAGAGGGGTGTTCAGATGCTCGAAATTTTCATACCCGGATTTCTCAGTTTAAAATATTCCATATTCCTTTATTTATCGGCTGGTGGGCCAACCAAACCTTTAAATCGATTTATCTCCGTAAATATGGCTCTAATCGCGAAAAGAGGGGTGTTCAGATGCTCGAAATTTTCATACACGGATGTCCCAAAATAAAATATTCCAAAATCCTTTATTTATCGGCTGGTGTGCCAACCAAACCTTTAAATCGATTTATCTCCGTAAATATGGCTCTAATCGCAAAAAGAGGGGTGTTCAAATGCTCGAAATTTTCATACCCGGATTTCCCAATATAAAATATTCCAAAATCCTTTATTTATCGGCTGGTGGGCCAACCAAACCTTTAAATCGATTTATCTCCGTAAATATGGGTCTAATCGCGAAAAGAGGGGTGTTCAGATGCTCGAAATTTTCATACACGGATGTCCCAAAATAAAATATTCCAAAATCCTTTATTTATCGGCTGGTGGGCCAACCAAACCTTTAAATCGATTTATCTCCGTAAATATGGCTCTAATCGCAAAAAGAGGGGTGTTCAGATGCTCGAAATTTTCATACCCAGATTTCCCAATATAAAATATTCCAAAATCCTTTATTTATCGGCTGGTGAGCCAACCAAACCTTTAAATCGATTTATCTCTGTAAATATGGCTCTAATCGTGAAAAGAGGGGTGTTCAGATGCTCGAAATTTTCATACCCGGATTTCTCAGTTTAAAATATTCCATATTCCTTTATTTATCGGCTGGTGGGCCAACCAAACCTTTAAATCGATTTATCTCCGTAAATATGGCTCTAATCGCAAAAAGAGGGGTGTTCAGATGCTCGAAATTTTCATACCCAGATTTCCCAATATAAAATATTCCAAAATCCTTTATTTATCGGCTGGTGTGCCAACCAAATCTTTAAATCGATTTATCTCCGTAAATATGGCTCTAATCGCGAAAAGAGGGGTGTTCAGATGCTCGAAATTTTCATACCCAGATTTCCCAATATAAAATATTCCAAAATCCTTTATTTATCGGCTGGTGGGCCAACCAAACCTTTAAATCGATTTATCTCTGTAAATATGGCTCTAATCGTGAAAAGAGGGGTGTTCAGATGCTCGAAATTTTCATACCCGGATTTCTCAGTTTAAAATATTCCATATTCCTTTATTTATCGGCTGGTGGGCCAACCAAACCTTTAAATCGATTTATCTCCGTAAATATGGCTCTAATCGCAAAAAGAGGGGTGTTCAGATGCTCGAAATTTTCATACCCAGATTTCCCAATATAAAATATTCCAAAATCCTTTATTTATCGGCTGGTGGGCCAACCAAACCTTTAAATCGATTTATCTCCGTAAATATGGCTCTAATCGCGAAAAGAGGGGTGTTCAGATGCTCGAAATTTTCATACACGGATGTCCCAAAAATAAAATATTCCAAAATCCTTTATTTATCGGCTGGTGAGCCAACCAAACCTTTAAATCGATTTATCTCTGTAAATATGGCTCTAATCGTGAAAAGAGGGGTGTTCAGATGCTCGAAATTTTCATACCCGGATTTCTCAGTTTAAAATATTCCATATTCCTTTATTTATCGGCTGGTGGGCCAACCAAACCTTTAAATCGATTTATCTCCGTAAATATGGCTCTAATCGCGAAAAGAGGGGTGTTCAGATGCTCGAAATTTTCATACACGGATGTCCCAAAATAAAATATTCCAAAATCCTTTATTTATCGGCCGGTGTGCCAACCAAACCTTTAAATCGATTTATCTCCGTAAATATGGCTCTAATCGCAAAAAGAGGGGTGTTCAAATGCTCGAAATTTTCATACCCGGATTTCCCAATATAAAATATTCCAAAATCCTTTATTTATCGGCTGGTGAGCCAACCAAACCTTTAAATCGATTTATCTCCGTAAATATGGCTCTAATCGCAAAAAGAGGGGTGTTCAGATGCTCGAAATTTTCATACCCAGATTTCCCAATATAAAATATTCCAAAATCCTTTATTTATCGGCTGGTGAGCCAACCAAACCTTTAAATCGATTTATCTCCGTAAATATGGCTCTAATCGCAAAAAGAGGGGTGTTCAAATGCTCGAAATTTTCATACCCGGATTTCCCAATATAAAATATTCCAAAATCCTTTATTTATCGGCTGGTGGGCCAACCAAACCTTTAAATCGATTTATCTCCGTAAATATGGCTCTAATCGCGAAAAGAGGGGTGTTCAGATGCTCGAAATTTTCATACACGGATGTCCCAAAATAAAATATTCCAAAATCCTTTATTTATCGGCTGGTGGGCCAACCAAACCTTTAAATCGATTTATCTCCGTAAATATGGCTCTAATCGCGAAAAGAGGGGTGTTCAGATGCTCGAAATTTTCATACCCAGATTTCCCAAAATAAAATATTCCAAAATCCTTTATTTATCGGCTGGTGGGCCAACCAAACCTTTAAATCGATTTATCTCTGTAAATATGGCTCTAATCGCAAAAAGAGGGGTGTTCAGATGCTCGAAATTTTCATACCCAGATTTCCCAATATAAAATATTCCAAAATCCTTTATTTATCGGCTGGTGAGCCAACCAAACCTTTAAATCGATTTATCTCTGTAAATATGGCTCTAATCGTGAAAAGAGGGGTGTTCAGATGCTCGAAATTTTCATACCCGGATTTCTCAGTTTAAAATATTCCATATTCCTTTATTTATCGGCTGGTGGGCCAACCAAACCTTTAAATCGATTTATCTCCGTAAATATGGCTCTAATCGCGAAAAGAGGGGTGTTCAGATGCTCGAAATTTTCATACACGGATGTCCCAAAATAAAATATTCCAAAATCCTTTATTTATCGGCTGGTGTGCCAACCAAACCTTTAAATCGATTTATCTCCGTAAATATGGCTCTAATCGCGAAAAGAGGGGTGTTCAGATGCTCGAAATTTTCATACCCAGATTTCCCAATATAAAATATTCCAAAATCCTTTATTTATCGGCTGGTGAGCCAACCAAACCTTTAAATCGATTTATCTCTGTAAATATGGCTCTAATCGTGAAAAGAGGGGTGTTCAGATGCTCGAAATTTTCATACCCGGATTTCTCAGTTTAAAATATTCCATATTCCTTTATTTATCGGCTGGTGGGCCAACCAAACCTTTAAATCGATTTATCTCCGTAAATATGGCTCTAATCGCGAAAAGAGGGGTGTTCAGATGCTCGAAATTTTCATACCCAGATTTCCCAATATAAAATATTCCAAAATCCTTTATTTATCGGCTGGTGAGCCAACCAAACCTTTAAATCGATTTATCTCTGTAAATATGGCTCTAATCGTGAAAAGAGGGGTGTTCAGATGCTCGAAATTTTCATACCCGGATTTCTCAGTTTAAAATATTCCATATTCCTTTATTTATCGGCTGGTGGGCCAACCAAACCTTTAAATCGATTTATCTCCGTAAATATGGCTCTAATCGCGAAAAGAGGGGTGTTCAGATGCTCGAAATTTTCATACACGGATGTCCCAAAATAAAATATTTTTTTTTTTTTTTTTTTTTTTTTTTTTCCTTTGGTTTGTTTTTTTCCGTCGATCTTGTTTTCCGTGCTGAGCACCAATGCTACCGACGTGCCAGGAAGGCAGCTCCCACACCTGGACCCTACCTATCGACCCAACAACTCATGAACCGGGGACCAACGGCTTTACTTCCCATCCGAAGGAAGGCGTGATCAGAGATGTTATGCCTCAGAACATCCCGGCGGCGCCGACTGGGATTGAACCCAGGCCTGCTGGGGTGAGAGGTAATCACGCTTACCACTACACCACCGGCGCCGTTAAAAATAAAATATTCCAAAATCCTTTATTTATCGGCTGGTGTGCCAACCAAACCTTTAAATCGATTTATCTCCGTAAATATGGCTCTAATCGCAAAAAGAGGGGTGTTCAAATGCTCGAAATTTTCATACCCGGATTTCCCAATATAAAATATTCCAAAATCCTTTATTTATCGGCTGGTGGGCCAACCAAACCTTTAAATCGATTTATCTCCGTAAATATGGCTCTAATCGCGAAAAGAGGGGTGTTCAGATGCTCGAAATTTTCATACACGGATGTCCCAAAATAAAATATTCCAAAATCCTTTATTTATCGGCTGGTGGGCCAACCAAACCTTTAAATCGATTTATCTCCGTAAATATGGCTCTAATCGCAAAAAGAGGGGTGTTCAGATGCTCGAAATTTTCATACCCAGATTTCCCAATATAAAATATTCCAAAATCCTTTATTTATCGGCTGGTGAGCCAACCAAACCTTTAAATCGATTTATCTCTGTAAATATGGCTCTAATCGTGAAAAGAGGGGTGTTCAGATGCTCGAAATTTTCATACCCGGATTTCTCAGTTTAAAATATTCCATATTCCTTTATTTATCGGCTGGTGGGCCAACCAAACCTTTAAATCGATTTATCTCCGTAAATATGGCTCTAATCGCAAAAAGAGGGGTGTTCAGATGCTCGAAATTTTCATACCCAGATTTCCCAATATAAAATATTCCAAAATCCTTTATTTATCGGCTGGTGTGCCAACCAAATCTTTAAATCGATTTATCTCCGTAAATATGGCTCTAATCGCGAAAAGAGGGGTGTTCAGATGCTCGAAATTTTCATACCCAGATTTCCCAATATAAAATATTCCAAAATCCTTTATTTATCGGCTGGTGGGCCAACCAAACCTTTAAATCGATTTATCTCTGTAAATATGGCTCTAATCGTGAAAAGAGGGGTGTTCAGATGCTCGAAATTTTCATACCCGGATTTCTCAGTTTAAAATATTCCATATTCCTTTATTTATCGGCTGGTGGGCCAACCAAACCTTTAAATCGATTTATCTCCGTAAATATGGCTCTAATCGCAAAAAGAGGGGTGTTCAGATGCTCGAAATTTTCATACCCAGATTTCCCAATATAAAATATTCCAAAATCCTTTATTTATCGGCTGGTGGGCCAACCAAACCTTTAAATCGATTTATCTCCGTAAATATGGCTCTAATCGCGAAAAGAGGGGTGTTCAGATGCTCGAAATTTTCATACACGGATGTCCCAAAAATAAAATATTCCAAAATCCTTTATTTATCGGCTGGTGAGCCAACCAAACCTTTAAATCGATTTATCTCTGTAAATATGGCTGTAATCGGATTTCCCAATATAAAATATTCCAAAATCCTTTATTTATCGGCTGGTGGGCCAACCAAACCTTTAAATCGATTTATCTCCGTAAATATGGCTCTAATCGCGAAAAGAGGGGTGTTCAGATGCTCGAAATTTTCATACACGGATGTCCCAAAATAAAATATTCCAAAATCCTTTATTTATCGGCTGGTGGGCCAACCAAACCTTTAAATCGATTTATCTCCGTAAATATGGCTCTAATCGCGAAAAGAGGGGTGTTCAGATGCTCGAAATTTTCATACCCAGATTTCCCAAAATAAAATATTCCAAAATCCTTTATTTATCGGCTGGTGGGCCAACCAAACCTTTAAATCGATTTATCTCCGTAAATATGGCTCTAATCGCGAAAAGAGGGGTGTTCAGATGCTCGAAATTTTCATACCCAGATTTCCCAATATAAAATATTCCAAAATCCTTTATTTATCGGCTGGTGGGCCAACCAAACCTTTAAATCGATTTATCTCCGTAAATATGGCTCTAATCGCGAAAAGAGGGGTGTTCAGATGCTCGAAATTTTCATACCCAGATTTCCCAATATAAAATATTCCAAAATCCTTTATTTATCGGCTGGTGGGCCAACCAAACCTTTAAATCGATTTATCTCCGTAAATATGGCTCTAATCGCAAAAAGAGGGGTGTTCAGATGCTCGAAATTTTCATACCCAGATTTCCCAATATAAAATATTCCAAAATCCTTTATTTATCGGCTGGTGGTCCAACCAAACCTTTAAATCGATTTATCTCCGTAAATATGGCTCTAATCGCGAAAAGAGGAGTGTTCAGATGCTCGAAATTTTCATACCCAGATTTCCCAATATAAAATATTCAAAAATCCTTTATTTATCGGCTGGTGGGCCAACCAAACCTTTAAATCGATTTATCTCCGTAAATATGGCTCTAATCGCGAAAAGAGGGGTGTTCAGATGCTCGAAATTTTCACACCCGGATTTCCCAGTTTAAAATATTCTAAAATCCTTTATTTATCGGCTGGTGGGCCAACCAAACCTTTAAATCGATTTATCTCCGTAAATATGGCTCTAATCGCGAAAAGAGGGGTGTTCAGATGCTCGAAATTTTTATATCCGGATTTCCCAATATAAAATATTCCAAAATCCTTTATTTATCGGCTGGTGGGCCAACCAAACCTTTAAATCGATTTATCTCCGTTAATATGGCTCTAATCGCGAAAAGAGGGGTGTTCAGATGCTCGAAATTTTCATACCCGGATTTCCCAGTTTAAAATATTCCAAAATCCTTTATTTATCGGCTGGTGGGCCAACCAAACCTTTAAATCGATTTATCTCCGTAAATATGGCTCTAATCGCGAAAAGAGGGGTGTTCAGATGCTCGAAATTTTCACACCCGGATTTCCCAGTTTAAAATATTCTAAAATCCTTTATTTATCGGCTGGTGGGCCAACCAAACCTTTAAATCGATTTATCTCCGTAAATATGGCTCTAATCGCGAAAAGAGGGGTGTTCAGATGCTCGAAATTTTTATATCCGGATTTCCCAATATAAAATATTCCAAAATCCTTTATTTATCGGCTGGAGGGCCAACCAAACCTTTAAATCGATTTATCTCCGTAAATATGGCTCTAATCGCAAAAAGAGGGGTGTTAGTATTTTTAAAAGTCGTTTGAAAGTCTTCAACTTGTCTGCGTAAGATGTTTTTTGTTTGGATTAGAATAAATAAAAGCAGATACGCCCTTTTAAAAGATCATCCTTGAAATCTCCAACCGTTATGTGTATCTACAACCAAAGATTAAATCCATCACTTACCCTCTTCCGGCAGGCTTTCCTCCCCGGCCAGCTCCACGGCCGCCACGGCCACCACGACCGCCACCACCTCCACTTCTCCTCTGCTGGAACTCCCTCTTGCGACCGTGCTCCTCCCCCTCCTTGGGGCCCGTATGCTCCCGAACGAACTGCTTCGGTGGATCCCTCAGCCCCAGACACTTGGCATAATGGCCCATGTTGACCGCTTTGATGGCGAAAATCCGCCGCAACTCCTTCGGAAAGTTGGAATAGTACCGCACCCAGGAAACGAATGCTGCAAATGAAGGAAAAGAAAAAAGAACCGAACGAACAGAAATTAAACATACATTAGTAATATGGGAATGACTCCTTTATTTGCCCGGTAGAGGTTGGATCGTGTAATTTTTCAACCGCAGCTCGCATTTAGGTATGAGTATGGATACAATTGAACATTATTTTTCAATTCAAGCTGCTCGAGTGCGAGCCACGAGTGCTCTCAAGATTCAAAAGTACCACCTTAGAATCGGTAACAATTATTTTATCATTTGGATGCTGTTGCCATCGTCGTCGAAGTCGTCGAAGTCGAAGTCGAAAAGTCGTGCACGATCGTCCCGGAGGGGGAAAACCGGAGAAGATTAATCAAACATTGAATTGATGTAAATTTGAATGGGAAATTGTGAGCAATCGGCGGTCGTCGAGGCATTTTACACGGCGACGGCGACGACGACGACGACGGAGTGCTTAATGGGATTTGAAATGGTTATTGTTCACCGCCAGCCACACACGCACTCCTTGGCTTGAATCTTGACTTTTTACCCTCCCCTTGCTGCCTGTATAGGAAACAATAATTAATGGAAGTTACATTTAATGAAGGGAAATATTTTCCACTTTGGCACCCATCGATTCACGGGTGCTGCTGCCAGCGCGGCACGGATTCCGGATTCCCATATCCCGTTCCGTGAGAGAGAGATGATGACTTCCAAGCATCAGGAATATCGATAAATCGTCGACGTCGTCGTCGTCGTTGGTAAGACGGTGGTGGTCTTCTCAAGTGGTAATTGAATTCCTGATGGGATCATGGCATGGAGAGTGTGAGAGAGTGGCGTGCGGAGGTCATACATCAAACAGGGGTGCGGGAAAAGCGGGAGTTATTTGGGAGCAGACGACGGGCTACCTAATGGATGGTTAATGAGTTGTTGAATGGTGGTTTGGCTTCAATTGTTGGCGATTAGGCGGAGGGAACATTTGTGGAAGATTTGTGACTATGTGAAACAATGTATTCCAGGAGAGGTTGGACGCACTAGCGGTTCAGGCGTTGAGTGCGCATTCAAACACCGAATCAAGTTACGTGAGAAATTATTTGGAAATCGAATAAGCCGTCTTGCCTAGTAAACGTATGTGGATCAGATGTGGATGGGGATAAATTTAAAAAAATACCTCAAAGATAAAGACCAACATGAAGGTTAATATAGTTGGAGATGCTTAAATTCAAATATTAGACTCAAAGTGGACGATAGATGAGGAGTATAGAGTTGATAGTTCTGTTGTAGTACGGCAGTTTGAAAATTTTATATAGAAAGTAGAAAGCGAGCAGAGGACAATTTTGAGGAAGACACAAATCGGGTCGATCATTCCCTTTACCAAACTCATCCGTTGATGAAGGATGGTAAGGGGTGTATTTCCACGCCCCCCTCGCTACTGCTGGCAAAAGGGATGATCACCGATTTGCTCACGTACCTCCGATGTGCGGAAACAGTTTTATGGATTGTTTCACACTTCAAGTCGCCATCTGATGTAGGTATTAAGGTTAAGTAAACCACAGGGAACTTTTGTGAACTTTGGAAAAATCCTGCGAACTTCAAAAAATTTCAAAGAATCTTAATCTTTAGGGAAGTCTAGAAACTTCAGAAAATTTCTACGAGATTCAGGGAAGCCTGTAGATTGCTGAAAATTTCATCAAAATTCAAGAAAGGTTGCAAACTCTAAAACTATTCTGCCAACAGTTCCCTTAAAAAAATCTGTGAGTTTCCTACAGTATGGTGCTCAACTTGTGACTATGACATGACCAAACACTCCCGGGTAACTAGCTCAGTAGCATGAGACCCCTGAGCTGTGCCGCAGGGCCGGCATGTTACTGGGTTACGCGGACAAAGTATGCAAACACAAGAACATTCACATTTTCTAAAACATTTATTGCCCTTTTCTGTGGCGTGTATGCGAGGTTTAAAATTGGCACTACCGTGTGGCCAGAAACTTGCGACGCGAGCTGCAAACAGTGTTGTTGCTGTTATGGGAGAATGGCGAATCTGGTGGCGTTCATCAGCTATTTACGGCTCAGCAGGCGTTGCTGGCTCGTTTGGCTGGCAGGCGTCTTCCGTCGTTGACGACATCGGCCACCTTGGTCGAGCCAAGACGGGACCCTCCTTGGCAATGATGGCCACCGGCCTGAGGGAATCGTCCCTGACGGACGATCGAGAATCATTAGCTATTAGGCTTGGAAGCCATCTTGCGAGCCGAGCTGTGTGAGACCGTTTTATTGTACGATACGATGTCCTAAACGGATGTAGTCCAACACTCCAGAAACCCCACAAGGGGGGGGGGGGGGGGTAATAACACTAAATGGCACTGCACTTTAAGATACCGGTCTTTTCCACACGGACGCCTGTTTGTTTCACTCCCTAATCTTCCAAATCTAAGATAAGATCTGGCCATCTTCAAATCCCGGGCCTAGACCCTGGCAATTAAAGCCAGGCGCAAGGCCCTTCGGACGGCCAAACGCCTACCGCAAGGACATTCCGAAAAAGAGGGATCCATTGAAGCCTACCGAGTTGCCAGAAACCAATGCCATCAAACCATCCGTGAAGCAAAGGAAGCGAGCTGGAAAAGCTTCCTGGACTAAATTAACCCAAATGAGTCATGCACCGAAATCTGGCAGAGGATCAACGCTATCCGAGGAAACCGACGTGCCCGAGGCTTTGCCCTCCGGGACCCGTATGGACTCTCCCGAGACCCAGAGACAATTGCGAACCTCCTCGGCGACTGCTTTGAGTCGCTGTCCTGCATTGAGGCCCACAACGATGATTTCCGGAGCCGTAACGGCGTCTCCACCTCCAGCATCGAGAACGTGGCCATACCCGATGACGAAGATACACTCACAATTAACAGGCCCTTCACCATGGATGAATTAAACTTTGCCCCTTAAGCTTTGGATACCCGATGCTGCGGAACCTCCCACCCACGCACAAAGGAACTCTTCTCGAGCTCCTCAACCAGGCATGGACGGGTCATCGGCTGCCTGACTCCTGGAAACATAGCCTTATCGTCCCCATCCCGAAAAACCTCGGTCAAGCACTATCACCGAAGAATTTCCGGCCGATCACCTTGACCTGACCAGCTGCTGCTGCAAAATAATGGAGCGTCTGGTCAACCGGAGATTAGCGAGATTCTTTCTTTCGCCCTGGCCACGGAACTGGTACATACTTTAACAGCCTTGGCCAGATAGTACATGAGGCACTCCGTAAGGACCAGCACGTCGAGGTGGCCTCCCTGGATCTGACCAAAGTTTACAACAGAGCCTGGACACCCCAAGTACTACAGCAGCTAGCCAGATGGGGCCTCGGAGGAAATATCGTCTACTTTTTGAAGAATTTCCTGCAGGGCAGAACCTTCCAGGTGACCGTCGGGAACCACAGCTCCAGCACCAGACAGGAAGAGACCGGGGTTCCCCAGGGTTCCGTAATTGCAGTGACCATCTTCCTGGTAGCAATGAACGGAATCTTTATGGGACTCCCTAAGGAGATTTACAGTCTGGTCCTGGTATATGCGGACGACACTTTGCTACTGATCATAGGGAAGATCCTGAAGGCCATGAGGGTAAAGCTCCAAGCTGCGGTCTCCGCTGTTGGCCGATGGGTCGCTAGGACCGGCTTTGAGATATCTGCCGAAAAGAGCTCAATCTTCCACATCTGCCGCCTTGGCCACCGACCACTTCCGACACCAATCAAAATTAACAGCCACACTATCCCTAGAAAGAAGACCATATCCATCCTTAACGATGTCTGAACGAATTGTCGAACACCACTGAACATCCTCCGCTCCCTCTCCGGGCCTCATAAAACGAGCAACAGGGCCATCGTACTCAAGACCGCCAGAGCCATTGTTCATAGCCGACTGACCTACGGAATTGAGCTCCTCTGTGCGTCCAGCGATTCGCTCGTCACCCGACTAGCGCCGATATATAACCAGGCAACACGAATTGCGGCTGGACTTCTGCCATCAACACCAGCCGATACCGCCTGTATTGAAATCGGAGTGCTCCCTTTCCGATATTATATTGCGGCAACAATCTGTACCAGAGCCGTGGGCCTCGATGAAAAATTAAGCGGAGACGGAGAATTCCATCTCCTCACAGAGGGGAAACGAATCCTCCAGGAAATCGCTTACCAGGAGCTCCCCCCGTTGGCCCAGCTCCACTAGAACAGAGCCAGAGAGTGGGATTCTTCCCCCATCCGAGTGGACAAATCCATGGTCAAGCAGTTCAATGCTCGGTCTTCTCGGCCGAGACTGCAGCCCTTCATTACGCAGCTTCCCTACCATCCTCCTCTCCACTATGCGTACTAACCGATTCAGGCCATACAAAACCATCACCCCCCCGACTCCACTTTCAATTGCCGGAAACATACAAGCAGACCACCGCGCAGCCATTGGAGGAAGTGGCCGACTCGCCAATACTTCGGTCCCCAGACAGTACCTGAAACTATGGATCAAGTCAACTCTCAGGACGGCATGGGACCGCGAATGGTTCACCAGGAGAGACCTCTTCATCCGGAACACCAAAGGGGTAACCCTTCCCTGGACGAATGTACCAAGGTTTTATAACCAGAGTTTCCTGTCCCGGTTAAGAACCGGCCACACCCGCATCACCCACAACATGGGGAGCAGCAGTGGCGGAAACTTCCGCCAAAGATGCGACACTTGCAGAACAACAATGACGGTCGAACACATACTAATAAACTGCCCTTGCTTCCACGGACCACGAGAACTCTACAGGATCCCGGGCAACATCCAAAACACCGAGAAAATTTTGTAAATTAAGAAAAAATCATCGCAATTCCGTCCCATTTGCGGTTTTGCTACAACTGAGTTTTCCTATGGTAATAGTAGCTGATCAAACATATTTTCAAAATACTGGATGAACTCAACAACTTTGTACTGGACAAGTTTAAACAAACACAGCTAAACAGGTTGTCCCATCACAAAAGCAAACGAAGCAAACTTAGAATGCGTTTTTCTCGG